CTCTTTGTCTAGTATGAGATGACTGAATTTATGTAGGTTTGTCTCTGTGTCTTCTATTCTGTACCCTTGTTGACCAATCTTTTTATTGCCTTAGAAACACCATCAAATATTTATGTTTTCATGTTAGTTCTGATTAAGTCACTTTAAACTACCCCTAGGGACTGAATTTGTCTCTTCTCAACCTCCACATATTTATTCCTTCTTTGCATGTTGCTGAGCATGGATTTCAGAGAGAACTTCACATGGTGAGAGTAGTGAAAGGCGGGTGGGGAACAAAGGAAGTACAAAAAGGCCTTAAACTGTCACTGAGTTCATAGTGCTGGTGTTTTTTCTCTTTGCATCCCCCTCTTGAATTTTTTTATGAAGCCATTTATTTGCAAGAGCTGTGTTATTTTAGATTTCCCAAGTTTGTCCTTCCAAATTAGTCTTCCTTCTGTTCCTTGTGTTGATCCCTCTTCCTAGAGCAAGCCTGCAGAGAGAACTAGAAGTTCAGCATGGTGCTGAATGAAGAGTGGTGAGAACATACATCCTTGTCATGTTCCTAATCCCAGAGAAAGCATTCAGTATTCAGTCATTCACTGTTTTATAAAATGCTGGCTGAAGAAGGTTTTTTGTAGATGCCCTTTGTTGAGTTGAAGAAGTTTCTCTTTCTTCTTTTTTTTTTTTGGAGTTTGTTTTTCTTAAATGGGTGTTGAATTTTGTCAAGTGCTTTTTATGCATTGATTGATAATTATTATGTAATTTTTATTTTTAGACTTCTAAGGTCACAGGTTATATTGATTCTATTTTTTTTTTTTGGTACTGGGGATTGAACTCAGGGCTGCTTAACCACTGAGCCACATCCCTATCCCTTTTTACTTTTTGAGACAGGATCTCAATAAGTTGCTTCAGGCCTTGCTAGGTTGCTGAGGCTGGCTTTGAACTTCACGATCTTCCTGCCTCAGCCTATGGAGCTGTTGGAATTACAGGCATGCACCACTGTGCCCAGCCTCTTTGATTGTTTTGAATATTTAACCAATCTTGCATCCATAGGATGAATCCTCTGGTATATAATTTTTAATACATTGTGGAACTCTATCTGCTAATATTTTGTTAAGTTTTTTTTTCCTTTTTTCTTTTGTATTTTATACTTGAGGGATGCTGGTCTGAAGTTTTTTTTTCTTTCTTTCATTTTTTGTACTGTCTTTGGGTTTGTTTCAGTCTAATAGAGACCTTCTCAAAAATGATTTTAGGGGCTGGGGCTGGGGCTCAGTGGTAGAGTGCTTGCCTAGCATTTGTGAGGCACTGGGTTCAATCCTCAGCACCACATATAAATAAGTAAAATAAAGGTCCATTGAAAAATTAAAAAAATTAAAAAATTATTTCAGAAGTAATCTCTTTATTATTTTCCACAAGAGATTTTATATAATTGATTTTGATTTTTCCTTAAACATTTGATAGAACTCTCCAGTGAAACTACATGTGCCTGGAAATATCTTTTTTAGAATTTTAATTTACAAATTTTATTTCTGTTGAGAGCCACAGCTGAAGCGGCCCCAGCAAACTTCCAGCTGATTGGCTCCTCTGCGGTGATGCTCATTGGGCTGTTTCCCCACCCTTTCAGACCATGGAGCTGCTCATTGGGGGACTCTTTTGGCTCTGCCCACGCAACCCAGCCAATCAGGCTCAAGAGCACGAGGAGTGGAGCTGTTGAGAGGCTCGTGAGAAGCCAGTGGTGGCAGTTGGGCTCTGAGGGAATTCCTGAAGAGCTCTTTTGGTACAGCGTGTGTGTTCTAAAAATAAAGTTCATTTCTTTTGACAAGTGGCTGGTGAATTGTGCCCAGCCGGACTGCGGCACATTTCCTTAATATTTACAATTCTATTCAAATGATCTATTTCATATTGGGTAAGCTATAGTTTTGTTTTCTGAGGAATTGGTTTGTTTCATACAATTGTCAAATTTTATGTGTGTAGGGTTGCTCATAATATTCTTTTGTTTTTCTTTTGATAGCTCCTTGATCTGGAACAATATCCTCTGTTTCATTTCTGATTTTGGTAATTTGTGTTTTCTCTCTTTTTTCCTCTCAGTCATGCTAGAGGTTTGATAGTTTTATTGATTTTGAAAAATTTTATTGATCTTTTTAAAGCACCAATTCATTTTGCATCACGTTCACACACTGAGAATCTCTAAGACAGTCACTTCTTTCTTTTCAGTTTGTTTCTCCTCTATCCTACTTTTACATAGTTAACATTTTCTTTCAGTTGCATTACACATTCCTGTGGCCTTTCCTCTCCTCTTCTGTGTCTTGGCAGGTGCTCTATTATGTTTACCCTTCCTTTTGGCCTTGCTTCTGAAAGGTGACCACATCTTGCTGGTATTTCTAGGTTTCATTTTTTATTAAGACTGCTTTAAATAATAATTTCACAAGACAACTCTGAGTTCTAATTAGAACCATTATAGCTACATTGTAGAAATCTTGCCTAATAAAAAAACCCAAATAATTTGATAGTTGCCAATTTTGAACACATCTAAGTGTGCAAGACCATAGTGTACTGGAAAGGCATGGTGATACCACACTAGGGTTTAGGTCCTGGCTATATTGCTTACAATCTAAAGAATAGCCAGAGTGACTCTTCATTGCTTAGGTCTAGTCCAATGAAGCCGTATAAGGTCACTAAGTGGATTGAAGGTAGATCTTGAAGTAGCATCAAGTTTTTAGAAACTGGTCATATCTACTGTCATCCCAGGGGAGTAACAAGTTGGCATTCATTGCTGTGTTTTTGACTTATTACCACCTTTCCCAGCTTAGCTGAGTTGGAAGACTTCAGTGTTCCATGTACACAAGTGCCTTGAGTATTGTCATTTTTGCAACTGTGTTTTAGGAATGCTCCCTGCCTAGAAATCTCCTTTCTTTCTTCTGTACTTCTCTGAATTCTAGCCACTCTCCAGGGCTAAATCAAGTAATCCCTGACCAGATTAAACTGATGGACACTCTGAACTCTAGTAGCATTTTCTGCCTATGCCATTGAGCTTTTTTGTTTGTTTGTTTGTTTGTTTGTTTGTTTTTTTGGAATCATTGGTTTGGGAACACAAGGTCTTGTCAAGACATTCCTGGGCTTCAGTCTTGGCTCTGCCATTTCTTAGCTGCATGACCTTAGGCAAGTGACTTTGCTTCCCTGAATCTTGATGGCCTCCTCTGTAAAATGAAAAATCATCTCTGCCTATCCCAGTTATTATAAAGATCAGATAAAATATCTTAAAAGCTATTAAATGCCAACTAAATATTGTGGGGTTTTAATACAATAATAGTTAAAAATCAAGGTTAAATGAAAAAATATTCATGATATAATGATGTAATAAGAGAATTGTAGCACTATAGGTAAAGTAAGAAAGATTCACGTGTGTTTAAGTGTGTGTTCACAAACATGTACATTGAAAGAATAGAAGACACTCTTCAAAATGTTACTCTGAGTAATGGTTAGTTCTGGGTGATGGGATGATCACTGTTTTTCTCTGTATTTTGAATTTTTAAGGATGGGACTAGAATAGATTTATAAATTTAAAAAATATTATTTAAAAAAGAAAAATCAAAGTCTGATGGTATGTTGTTATTTTATTATTTATATTCCACCATATTTTGGAAAGGCTTTAAAGTAGCATATAATATAGTAAGATAAAACTGAAATGTAAGACAAAAAGAAACAAAAGAGAAAATACAGATAGGGAGATGATATGTAGTGACACTTTTAAATATTTGATATTAACTATCTTGTGTTTTTTTAAAGAATGTTTTCGTCAGTCATAAATTAATAGGTAAGATTAACTTTGTAAAATAAAGGCAGCATTTTACAATATAATGTAATCAAATTAAAATGATGCACAAAAATGACTGGGGCTGTGGCTCAGTGGTAAAGCACTTGCCTAGCATGGGTAAGGCACTGGGTTCCATCTTCAGCACCACATAAAAATAAATAAATAAAAATAAGGGTATTGTATCCACTAGAACTAAAAAAAAAATAAGAAATTAAGAAATGATGTACAAAAGAATTTTCTGGTAGTTTTGAGTGAATTAAAAATTCTAGTTTTTTTTGCATCACTATTCTCATTACACATATACAGCACAATTTTTCATATCTCTGTATATAAAGTATGTTGACACTAATTCATGTCTTCATACATGTACTTTGGATAATGATGTCTCTGGTTATTTTATTGTTGGGACAGTAAACATCTCCAAGAAGGCATGGTTGCTATTGATTATATTATATTATACTCATAATATGCAAGTTACAAATATACATTTGATTAGTGTTGAGTTTTCATGTCTTTTTTTTTTCTCCTTGGTACTGGGGATTGAAGTCAGAGACACTCAACCACTGAGCCACATCCCCAGCCCTATTTTGTATTTTATTTAGAGACAGGGTCTCACTCCATTGCTTAGCACCTCACCATTACTGAACTCGTGATCCTCTTGCCTCAGCCTCCCATGCTGCTGGGATTACAGGCATGCGCCACCATACCTGGCTCATATCTGTTTTTTTTTTGTTTGTTTTAAGAAAGAGAGAGAGAGAGAGAGAGAGAGAGAGAGGATTTTTTAATATTTATTTTTTAGTTTTCGGTGGACACAACATCTTTATTTTACTTGTATGTGGTGATGAGGATTGAACCCAGTGCCCTGCGCATGCCAGGTGAGTGCGTTACCGCTTGAGCCACATTCCCAGCCCTCATATCTATTTTTAATAAGTTTAATGGAGAGGCAAACTAGAGTAATGAAATTCAAATTGGGAGTGATATTCTTGCCCAAACTCTGCCATTAATTATGCTTAACTCCTTGGCTTATTCTACCTTGCAAGTTGAATGGCTTAAACCATTTATAGTTTAGTAAAGTTGTAGTTTTATTTATTTAGGAATGTATATTTCCCTTAGTATTTCCACTAAGAATAATTATAGTATGTTAGTTGATCTATGTTATTTCGCTGAGTTGTTGGATATTAACATAATTTAATTTTTTTTTTCACAGAGAGACCTCTCTCTCCCAAGGCTGTCAAAGGATTTGAAACTGCTCCACTTACCAAGAATTATTATACTGTGGTGAGTGTTCAGATGATGAGCAAAAATTTTCTTGACTCTGTGTAGAAACTTTCTACTTGTCAAACCATTGATGTTTTCAGGTGACACAAAGGAAAAACTGGATAAAGTTGTATCATAAGGTTCCAGTGCCATTTGCATTACCACATTGCTCTTCTACTTGTAGGACTCTTATGGATGTCTGGAAGTTCTACATACATGGTACTAAACAATTCAAGGGTAGCGCAAAGAGTGAGGTCTGTTAAATACCAGTGAAAGAGAAATTGGTTCATACATAAGTATTATGGAGAAATTCAGCAGTTAGACAAAGTCTTTCCAGATATCAAGAAGGTGATTTCCCAAGTTTCTCTATTGCTGTACGTTTTAAGTGATTATGTTCTGTAAATTTTACTTTAGAATCAATCAATCCATTATATCCTCTGGAATATTATCAACTCTATTCTTGAGGAGAGCCTTAAGGAAGACTACTCTTTGGCACAGAGGGAAGAATGAAACAGCTCTGGCTTGAACACAGATATATCAAACTTTATTAGCTATAAATAGGGCATGTGCAATACTCAAAATAAGTTCCTGTTTGAAAAGAAATCACATCATTCTCCTTAATCTACTCTCTGCTTGCCTTCATGCCTCCTTTTCTGACTTGGCTCAGTCACTAATGAAAAGGCCAAGTCATCATCACTCTAAGTTGCCCTGTCTGGTTGCCTCCCTCCAACCTCTGCTGAAACACAGCTTCAGTTTTTACTCAGTGTTTTCTGTGAATTTGTACTGCATGCTCATTTCATTTTGTGCATGGAAAAGAAGTTTTTAATCATCTCTATATAGGTATGTGAATGTCATTTGGTTTCCAAAAATTGAATTTCACTCTTCAATGGATTTGTTCCATACTGGTGACATAAGCAGTAGGTAATGAGAAAACTTAAGACAGGAACTTTATAGGTAACATGGACAGTAATCATAAGGAAACTATTTTGTCAATATTTTTTTTTCTCTAAAATTTCTGAGGAAAAAAATGTATGACTCAGCAAAGCTGGGTTCCTTCATCCCTTTCTTCCTGATCACTTTTTTACTGGTCCAGGTGACCTCTAATAATTTAATTTTTAAGGAAAGAAGACAGTTGAGTGATAGATGAAAATGTTACCATAGTTTCTTCTCTAGAGATCTGGAGCATACTATAAGTCTGCTTGCAATTTCTCTCTTTGTCTGCTGGTTCCACCAGTTCAAACTGTTGTTAGGGGTCTGGGGTATAGCTCAGTGGTAGAGTGTTTACCTAGCATGCACAAGGCCCTGGATTTTATCACCTACACTGAGAAAAAAAATGTAGGGATTACCTGACAGATTACCTGGCAGATTAACTTCTGTGGTTTTTATGGGCTTTATGTAAATCCTATACATATATTTTATAGAAACTACAGTTTATATAACCTACCTCTTATTGGAAAATATGTGCATTGTTTCTAGTTCCTTTATACTATAAACAATTTTGCAGTGAACATCTTATATATACAACTTTATCAAAGCATATCAAGATATGTAGGGTAAATTCTTAGAAGGCAAATTATTTGTTTGAAAGATATATATGTTCTTAAAACTTATTGATGGATATTGTCTCAAATCGCAAGCTTAATGAAGAGAATAGAAAGTCTTGGCCAATTTATAATGACTTATGAAGGAAATAGAGAACTTTCGAATTAATATTGTTAAATTATTGACTAGAGGCCAGTTGGTCATGTTGTAACTATATATGGATGTGAAGAGATTTTAGTTGGTGTTGTTTTACAATGTACATTTCTTTGGCTTTGAGTGTTTATACACATTTTTAGTGGTGCTTAACTCAACATAAGTTCTCAGTGTTGTGATTGCCTTCTTTATTTGAATTGAATGCCTGAAACAAATTTTAAAAATACTGTCCCATCAAAGCTGGGCACAGTGGTGCATGCCTGTAATCTTAGCGGCTCAGGAGACTGAGGCAGGACGATAGCACGTTCCGAGCTAACTTCAGCAAAACCAAGGTGCTAAGCATTTCAGTGAGACACTGTCTCTAAATAAAATACAAAATGGGGCTGGGGAGGTGGCTCAGAGGTTGAGTTCCCCTGAGTTCAATCCCCAGTACCCCCTACCAAATACTGTCTCATCTATAGGATTTGGAGAAGTGGAAAGTCACATTCACCACATGAAAGATGTCTCCATCTGATCTTATATTAACTCTTCTTCCCACTAAGAGTCATTAATTGTGTAGCTTTCCTGTTGCTAGATCTATAAAACTACAAGTGACTGATTTTTACTCAATTTCAAAAACAACTTTTATGATTATTTGACCTATTACATAAAAAATTGTTATTAAATATCAGACAGTACAGGAGAAGTCTAAAGAAGAAAATAGATACACCTGTAGTCCCCACCACTTAAAAATGATCAGTATTAACATGTGAGAGAATCTCATGTCAAACTTTTTATGAAAGGCATATGTTATATGCATATATATGTATATATATACATATATATAGTGGGATACATGTGTGCATATGGTATATGTCTGTATCTTTTTAAAAATAAAAATAGGTACTATGTATTCTTCATTATTTCCCCTTCAAGGAGATTTTTCTATCCCCACACTCCCCTAGTACTTATCTCTGACCAGACCCATTATTATTTATTTATTTTAGATATACATGACAGTAGAATGTATTTTGACATATCATACATACATGGAGTATAACTTCTCATTCTTGTGGTTGTACATGATGTGGAGTTTCACTGATTGTGTGTTCACATATGAACATAGGAAAGTTATGTCTGATTTTATTCTACTGTCTTTCCCATTCCCAGCCCCACTTCCTTCCCTTCATTCAGACCCATTTTTGTGTTCTTACATTCGAAGAATTTTTGCTAGTCCAAGCTCCCTTTATACTTCTATGTATTGTCAAATTCTCCAAAGGGCGGGGGATGGAGAGAGAGACAGAGAGATAGAGAAAAATAGAGAGAGAGGAGGAAATATGAGTAGGGAGATTTCCTGTAAGAAATTGGCTTATGTATCTATGGAGGCTGAGAAATCCCATGACCTGCTGTCTGCATGCTGGAGAGCCAGGAGAGCCAGTACTATAATTCAGTCTTGAGTCTTAAGGTCTGATATGACCAGACAGCTGACAGTGTGAGTTTCATTTTAAGGACAAGAAAAGACCAATGTTCCAGTTCTAATAGTTTGGTAGAGAACAAGTTTTCCCTTCCTTTACCTTTGTGTTCTATGTAGGCCTTCAGTGGATTGGATGATGGCCACCTACATTGGGGAGGCAATCTTATCCCAGAAACTTCCTCAAAGGCATATGCAGAAATAATGTTTAGCTAAATACTATATCTGGGCACCCCAGGATCCAGTCAAGTTGACATGTAAAATTAGCCATGAATTTCTGTAAACTTGGGCAGGGTAGAGAGTTCTTGGAATTTGAAAATCAACAGTTTTCTCCCCAATTTTCAAATTTCCAGGGAATTGTTAGCTGATTTCAGCCCCACTTAAACCTCGATGCAATTCTGGTGTCATATCAATTTTGAAATGTTAAGAAGTTCTTCATTGTAACCAAGATGGAGTTAGGCACCCATCTTAGACCCATACCTGCCATGGGACATGTTTAATGTGTATAATTGAGGCTTTTCTACCAGCAGCCTGTTGTTTTGAATGGGAACTTAGCATCCATTAAGAATGTGGCACTGCAGAGGAAGACTTAGCTGCACCTGACCTTGGTTTCTTCATTGTCCTCAAACTTTTCTGCCATATGTTATACTTTTCTTATCATTGAAAAAAATTCATTTTCTTATTTATATATTTTTTTCTAATAGTCTTCATATTGGCTTTCTTTGCCCATTGAAACTTGATGTTATGTGCCAGGAAGGATTAAAAAGCAAAGAACAGGAGCCAGGTGTGGTGATCCCAGTTGCTTGGGAGGCTGAAATAGGAGGATTGTGAGTTTAAAGCCAGCCTCAGCAAAAGTGAGGCGCTAAGCAACTCAGTGAGACCCTGTCTAATAAAATACAAAATAGAGCTGGGGATGTGGCTCAGTGCTCAAGTGCCCTTGAGTTAAATCCCCAATACCAAAAGAAAAAAAAAAGCAAAGAACAGAAAAAGGAATCTATGCAGCCTAATTGCTAGACTGTACATAGGCCTTGGCACCCATAGTCTCATTTAGGAAGGTAGGACTGACATGATAGCTTTAGCCACAGAACAGAGAATGATGTCATAAGATGGGTATCTCAAAATGTGGTTGGGGATGTTTTGCATCAGAAGCGCTCAGGAAGCTTGCTACAACTACACACAGATGGGCCCATAGATGACTTGCTACATTAGAATCTCTGGACATAAATCCCATGAATTGAATTTTTAAGCAACTTATCCTGTCTGTTTCACAACCCCCTTCCCTCCCCACAGGTGATTTTGGTGCTTACTTAAAGTAAAATATGAGAATCAGTAGGGGAAAGGGAATGGAGGAGGTAGTATTCAAGATGTGTCTAAGAAGAAAATCAGAGCTTATATAAGCAGAGAAAAACTGAAAGGGAATTCAGACAGGAAGAACTATATGAGCAAAGTTCACCAGGCAAGAATGTATATGCCTGCAATTCATCCCTGTAGGTCATAGAGTTGACCATACTCTCTTCTTCCCCCATCAAAATATCCCTTGGAACTATTGCAGCACACTGTAACAAAGCTGTCTTTTGTGGTATCACAAAGGCTATATGCACAGTTTTCAACTTTGGGAATGAGCTTCTATCTGCAGAGTGAGATATGCTATCTCTGTACATTCAAGTAAGATCCAGTATTATTTATTTTGTTCTGACTTTCTTTCATTTTATATAACTTACAGTTAATGCCTAAAGGGCATGTCTCACAGAACCGACATGCAGTAGGAAAGGTGGGAGGAAGTCTGTGGCATTTAAAATAAAATATCCTAGGAAGCCTCCTGTAACTCTTGCTCTAGCCTCCTACCTGCTTACCCTCATTTTCTCTCCCATCTCTC